ACTGTAAAAAAAATGTTTTCTTGTCAACTACTAGTCGTCACATACACTCGTAAGTTTACTATCTGTAAGGTTTACTATCTGCGATAAATAAGTTGGGCCAAGTTATCATTATGAAAAAAATTGTCAATAACCCAGTTTCACAAAGCAGTAGTTCGATTGGCAACTCGAAGTGGTTGTGCCTGAAACATTCTGCGATCAAAGAACGATTCGAGCGGATTTCACCGGATTGATTTTGACGACAAGTTCAAGTTCTAAAGCGGTATATTGCTAAAGTTGTTGCAATCAAAAAAGAATGGCGTGTGTTCTGGTTGACCTTACAATTATAGTTGACTTTTTCGTAATCGTTTTAAAAATTTAATCAAAAAATTTTTTCATGCAGACTATTTTAGAAAAATCCAGTAGCCATAACTCACAAGAATAAGAGATGTCACAATGCAATATACATGATAGTGACCTTAAAAAAGGGTAAAACTGAATAATATATGAAGGTTAGATTTGTCTTCCAAATCTTAAAACGAAAACTGGACCATATTATTAATTTCTTCAAGCAACTGGAAATGAAGAGGATTTCTTTAATATTGTATTGTAATAGTACACAAACAAAAACAAATAATCAAATTACTAATCAGTTTATATTTATAATCTTATGAAAAGTATTTTGTATGTGACATGTATGTGAAGTATTCTGTTGAGAGAATAAAAGAAATGAATACTAGTAAATGTAGAGCGTTTTCGAATAGCAAGAAAGAAAGGACAAACACATAAATTTATTTAATTTTATTGAAATTTGGCTGACCATAAACCCTGTTTCGAGTATTGCCAAGTATTAATATCAGTGGTCTTAGGAAATAATCGATGAATACTTGGCAATATTCTAAATTTTAAATATAAGAAGCTATATTCATAAATATCACCATATAAAGAAAGCGTAGTTTTTCCAGCAACAACAATACATATTTTAAAAAATACTAGTAAATATTTAAAATTGTTATTTAGTTTTAATTTGGGAAATATTATTCGATTTGAGTATATAGAAGTAAGCAGTAATTATTATGGTAATAAATAGTCGAACACAGCAATAGTTATTACTTTAACACGAATTTTGAGTGATAAAATCACATCTTTTGGTGTTATTGATAATTTAATGACTTTTGTGAAAAAGAAATATGACAGGTCAGAGTTTTGAGTTCTTGTAGTTTTACATGGTAAACTGCCTAGGTGACTTAATACCATGGTACTCTCAATAGAAATAACAAGGTAATGCGTTTCATTGGAATAAATTCCACGGGCAACAATAGAAGTTATACGTTTAGACAATGGTTTCTCCTTGATGAAGAACGAGGCATATATACACCAATGCCAAACTTTGAAGCGCAGCACCTATTAAAAAAAATGCAACTCTACATTAAGTAAAAGCATATATGCAAACATTGTCCCTGTATAATTTTAACAACAGCCATTACAATACTCCAATACGGGGCCAACCCAGTATTCAGAACAACCGTGGGTACCGAAATCTCGAGATACCGGGTATATGTCACTGGTCAGATATCGCAAGTGTGACCCACCCTAGTTATACCCTAACACTGTACAGGAAGGTGCGTAATGGATTTTAATCGTCTCTTACGACAAGCCTGTCCGAATCTCTAACCCGAAGCAAGCTCTGAGATATAATGTGGGGCATTTGTATTGATATATTGGATTGTATTTTTTATCTAACTGCTAATTCTATAACCGAGCCAAACTGAAAAGTTTAGTTCATTAGACTCTAGATTCCATAACGTTAAAAATGCGATCCAATATATTTAAAAAAAAAATTAAATATAACTAACGAATTTACGAAAACACATACAATCGAAAAGAAAAAGAAATGGAAACTTAACCTTCGAAGCAGTACACCAGCGTTCCAACTCTCTAACTTCATTATATAAAAACGATTATATAAAAACCACTGCTAACTGTTGAAAAAAGTTACAGTTTAAGATTCCAAAGTGTTTTCTGTAGAAAATACGGTGAGTAGTCGTATAAATTTAATATGGTTTCCAATACTCACAGAATATGAAGAAATTAATGAAGTAAATAAATGAATATAAGACCTGAGATATCGGCATGACATATAAAATTTTAGGCTCCGTTATGAAAACAGTTATAGCTATTAGTTTCATACAAACTCGATTAAGATGCATTTTACGGATCAGACACACTCAATTAAAAAACGCATTTCGAAGCTTAACTGCAAAGTTACGCTGCTCTACTATAAGCAGCTTAACATATTCGCCCCCCTTCTCACCTACACTTTCCCTATTTGGTCAGCAATCACTTCCGCTCAGATGGAAAGAATCCGTCTCTGACCTTTACAACAACGCCAAAATCACTCGCGTTGGCGGGTACCTTTGGACACTTGCCCTTGAAGTCTCCATTCCTAATACCCTCCCTGAAGACCTTGTTCAAGTCTTGCGCTTTGAACTCCTTCAATACCCATTCCATTACTTTCATGATCCTGGTTACAAAGTTCACCGTTAATCTCACCCCCACTTTCTAGCCGAAATCCCACCCCCTTCAATATCTTCCATTCTCCCTAATTCATGCCCATGCTTTCTGGCTTAGATGAATCTAGTCCACTAGATATTAAATCTATCTGCTCTCATCTCTCTCTGCTGATTACTGGAATGAAATTTCCACATTGCTGTGAAAATCTTCTTCATTCATTCCTAAGAGGTGGATTAAGTGGGTTCAAGTCTCACACTGCATTTCAGCGTTTTTTTTTTGACTCGAAGAAACTGTGTGTAAGTTTTTACTATTAACCTAAGATTTCACAAATAGCTTATTTTAGTTCTTTTTAAATACTAATACTGTTTAAAAAGTGCACATTCTGCAATCAAGTTCAAATTTAATGCTAATGGATTTTAGTCGCCTCTTGTAACATGCCTGCCTTACCACGAAAATATTGTAATCCCTAACCCAATGTTCTGAGATATAATGGTAGATATTTTATATCCTCTTTCGTTAAGGTGTGTTTTATTTTTATAATGCCCGACTTCTTTAAATCTTTAAAAGTTCTGATATATATCATCAAATTTATTTTGACAATTTTAAATATTTATCTTTAATGACTAGCGTTTCTCAGTTTTACCTTGGAACTATTTAGTGCTCTATTAAATTTAATGTGGACATAGACTATCCTTCAATATTAATTTGCCTTAAATGTAACTTATGATTAAAAGTTTTCAATATTAATTTCAGTTTTAATTTTAGTTTCTGATAAATACACAAATTTAATTGAAGGCACTGCGAAGCGTAATTCAGTGTCTTTTAAAATAAATAAGTATTGAATAAAAAATATCTACTGCCAGAAAGAATTGTGGTATGGAACCTGTTAAATTGTTAATTGAATTCCCAAATGAAATATCTCAAAAATTTTCCACTTGCATGTGTTTAGCAAGACATGATTTATGGGTGAAAATTTATATCTCTTTTTGTCTAACAAGTTGTGGAGACAAAATTTATTGGCATAAATTGGAATAAATTGCAAGAAAATCAAAAGCAGCCAAAACTGCTTCAATGCAGTCAGTTTTTTTTTTAATGTATTATATTAAATACATTTTGTGGTAACCAGAGCGCCATGAACTGATTGTGATGATATGGCACGAATAATTGCTAATTCAGACCAAGTCGCAACAGCATCAGTCTTAGTGGCTCAATATCGCAGTATTTCAATGTGTTAATAACAGAGTTTATACTTGGTGCAGCTATCGACGAGCATAAATTGGTTATCGACAAGTATGGTTTCAGTATTTATTCAAAAAATGTTTAATAGAAAAATACCAGAGAACTAATATATTGTATTAGTATTAAAGTACTGCAATACATATGAAAAAGCAAATGCCGATTAATTAATGTAGAACATATAAAAATATTAAATTTTTATGGATGTTTTGGATATTTTTGGCTATTCTGATCTTACATTCATTGAGTACATCACAACCGGCGATGGGACATGGATCTACGTGCTTGCAAACAAATCACTTGTTAATAGCATGAATAGCTAATCAAAGCCAAGAATATCATATATACTTTCTCAAAGTTTAAGATGAGGTTATTATTCTTATAGATTTTCGTACTTTATTGCAACAAAAATTCATTTTGGAGAAATAGATCTTACTGTTTGGCCGTATCAAATCGTTTGCAAAAGAAAATCTATTAGAAATGGAATATTTGTGGAAGAACAGTTTGTGAATTCTACACAACCGAAATTCAATTACTATCAATCAACTACTATATTTAATAGATCTCAATCTGTCTATTTTGGGTATTTATTTTGATTCAATTAATTCGATCTGAGAGTCATATAAATAATATTTCGTTAGAAGAGGAAACGTGAAATATTTAGTTTTGTTCTCAAGTAATATTAATGAATTAATATGTATTCTGTTTATTCATTAATTCTTTATATATCTTCATAGAAGTTGTTCGTACACTTATTGATAAAGGCTGAACCAAATGAGCAAGTCATAACATTAAATCCAAGCCTTTATCTGCTTTGACAGTTGAAGGCATGGAATGATGTTGTTATTGCTTCGTTTGGTTAGTTTCCTTTTCCGTTTTTTGTTTTTTTGCTCTCTCTCGATCGTGTTTTTGTGGCCGCCGCACGTAGAAGCATCATTGAAGTTCAATTATACAAAAAATAGAAGTATTAAATAACAAATAGAAAATTGTAAATAAATTCTAAAATAAACATACATGTTTTTGTGGCAATTGTAAATAAATTCTAAAATAAACATACATTTTTTGGCGCCCAACGTGGGGCTCGAAGTTGACGGGTTGTCGTGTCATATTTTTGTGTGCAGTACCAGGTTCGTTAGCTGCAAAGTAAAATTTTTTCGTTGATCTCTAAACGTTGGATTTGGTTTGTATTTTATCACATATATAAGATACAAATTTAATAAATTGACATTTAACCAGCTTCGAGTTTATTAATAACTACGTTCAAAGTTGTAGATATGGCTGAATTGAGTGCACTAGTCATCAAACGTAAGGTGATAAAGACCAATGTTACTAGGATAAAGAATTTGTTATCATGTGAGATGTCACATGCGGAATTAGAATGCAGGTTAAGCTTAATCGAAACTTATTTCAAACAGTTGTTAGCAATACAATCGGATATTGAAGCGTTGAACGACAAAGATAACGCTCGTGCAGAAATAGAAGAACTTTGCATTTTAGCGAAAGCAAAGGCTATTGAACTTTTAGGTGACGACTTTAATCGAAGTCGTGGAGAGTTAGCGTTACATATTCCAAGCAGAAGCTCGAACAATTTACCAAAACTCAAATTGCCAAAATTTACAGGAAAATACGCAGAGTATCAAAACTTTATATCATCTTTCAAGCAATTAGTTAACGAAGACAAGTCACTCTCAAATATAGAAAAGTTTAACCACTTGATTCAATGTCTTGAAGGACAAGCACTTGATACCATTCGTTCTTTTCAGGTTACGACAGAAAATTACGAAAAGGCTCTGACCAGATTAAAAGAACGATATGATAATAAAACTTTAAT